TATATATATATATATATATATATATATATATCCAGCTGTTTGTGTAGGAGATAGGAGAGTAGTAAGTATATATAGAAGAAGGAAGAGAAGAATAAATAAATAAATAAATAAATAAATAGATGAATAAATAGATAAATAAAGAATTAGAAGTTATGAAATAATGCTTGTTGTATAGCTGGATCAATAACAGGAGCAGAAGACTCCGTAGATTCAGCATATGAATCAAACATACTTGTATCTCTTGGTCCCTGTATATTAGGTATATAAGGAGGAATAATTTGTTTATTATAACAAAGTTGCCAATCAATACCTCTAAAGAATTTATGATTTTTTACGTCTTGTGCACCATCCTTTAGACATCCATACCTCTTATTAGGCTCATGAATAAGTAATCTTTTTATTAATGATTTAGCATATGAATCAAATAAAGGAGGAAAATCTATTTTTCCTGCAATTATTTTCTTATATATACCTAATGGTGTATCATCAACAAATGGTGGTCTTCCTGCTAACATTTCATATAATAATATACCTAATGCCCACCAATCTACTTGTAGTCCATGCCCTCTTCTTGTTATTGATTCAGGTGCTAGATACTCATGAGTACCACATAATGTCCATGTTTTTCCTTGTTTTATTTCCTTAGCGAACCCAAAATCTGTTATCTTTATATGTCCTAATGAATCTATTAATAAATTCTCTGGCTTAAGGTCCCTATACACTATAAATCTATCATGTAAATATTCAAATGCTAATGTTATTTCTGCTGTATATAAACGTGCTTGTTCTATTGGTACATTTATTTTTTTACGTAAATAACTAAATAATTCACCACCATTTACATACTCCATTAATAAAAATAAACGCTTCTCGTCTTGAAATGATGCCTGTATACATACATATATATATATATATATATTTATTTATTTATTTATTTATATTTATTTATTTATATTTATTTATTATTTATTCTCTATCTAATGATATATATACACATATATATATAACAGATATATATTCATGAAAAAAAGAAAAGGAAATAAATACATAAAAAAAAAAAAGGAAATAAATAAAATAAATAAATAAAATAAATAAATAAATAAATAAATAAATAAGACTTACTAATAAACTAACAATAAAAGGATGATGTATTTGTGTAAGTATTCTTTTCTCATCTTTTACATGATCAACTTGTTTCATGGATATTATTTTATGTTTACTTAATATCTTTAGTGCCATAGGAGGATATATACTATTTATATTATTATTATTATTATTATTATTATTATTTATTTTATTTATATTATTATTTATATTATTATTATTATTTATATTATTATTATTATTATTATTATTTATATTATTATTATTATTCTTGTTGGTGGTCGTGGTGGTGTTTAATCTTGTTATATTATTTATATTATTTATATAATTATAATTATAATTATTATAATTATAATTATTATTATAATTATTATTATTAATATTATTATTATTATTATTATTAATATTATTATTATGTATATAATTATATATATAATTATAATTATAATTAAGTATATGTTGTTGTATATCTACGATACATACACGACCAAAGGAACCAGTACCAACAGTATTATATAAAATAAAATCCTTAATAGTTAATTCTTTTTCTTGTAATTCTTTACGTATTAATTTATATAATAATTCTTGTTCTTTTTGTTTCTCTTGTTTTCTTATTAATTCTTCTTCTTCTTCCTCTTGTTGTTGTTGTTGTTGTTCCTGTTGCTGCTGTTGCTGCTGCTGCTGCTGCTGTTGTTGTTCTTGCTGCTGTATATCTGTACTATTTGTTGTTGTTGTTGGTGTTAGGATACAACCTGTAGGAACAGAAACACCTGATGCTGATGCTGCTGCTGCTGCTGCTGCTGCTGCTGCTGCTGCTGGGGAAGAAGAAGCAGCAGAAAGAGAGGAGGAGGAGGAGGAGGAAGAAGAAGAAGAAGGAATATTCTCATCATTCTCCATCTCCTCATGATGACGTAGATGATGATGATGATGTATTATTTGCTGCTGCTGTTGCTGCTGATGATGATGATGTTCTGCTGCTGCTGCTGCTGCTGCAGCTGCAGCTGCTGCTGCTGCTTCTTGTGCTGCTGCCTCGTCTACTACAGAGGGACGTGTGCTGCTGCCCGATACAAGAGAATCTATACGGCAACCCCCCATCAGCTGCATGCTGCTTAATTTACCCCATACACGTCCTAAGGGGCCCTTCAGCCTCTGGCTGCTGCTGCTGCTGCTGCTGCTGCTGCTGCTGCTACTACTATGGTTACTGCTGCTGCTACTGCTGCTGCTGCTGTTAATAGTTATAGTACTACTAGTTGATGGACCAAGAGAACAACGACTACTGCTTGCATATGGTGCAGCATAAGGACAACTCTGCATACTAGGAGGACAAGATGTTGTTGCTGTTGCTGCTGTTGCTGCTGCTGCTGCTGCTGCTGCTGATGACCCTGATACCCAACCTAGATTCATAAGTGCTCTTTTTGTTGACATATTTAAACAATTATTAGTATTATTCCCCTCTATACAATTAGCTGCTGCAGCAGTTGCTGCTGCAGCAGTTGCTGCTGCTGCTGTTGCTGCTGCTGCTGCTGTTGCTGCTGCTGCTGCTGCAGCAGGAGGAGACCTCTCATTAGATGCCTGGGATAAAAAAGACAACAAACTGCTCCTAAAGAGGGATCGCCTCTGAGGGGATTTATGTCGATACTGTCCTGCTGCTAGCGACATATTTGCTGCTGCTGCTGCTGCTGCTGCTGCCGCTGCTGCTGCTGCTGCCGCTGCTGCTGCTGCTGCTGTAGGTGCTGCTGCAGGAAAGAATATATATATATATAGGCAATAATGACGATATAATACGACAAACACTCTTCCCCCCTTCTCCTTATTAAAGAAAAAAGAAAAAAAGAAGAAAAAAAAGAAGAAAAAAAGAAGAAAAAAAGGAGAAAAAAAAAGAAAAAAAGAAGAAAAGGAGGAAAGAGGAGACTATATTATATCCAACACAAATAAATATTTATAAAGACACAATATACAACACTATGCAATTCCGCTGCTGCTGCTGCTGCTGCTGCTGCTGCTGCTGCTGCTGCTGCTGCTGCTGCGGACTCCGTGACGCTGGCGATTTAAACTTCAAGCGACAAGAATAATTAATTAATTAATTAATTAATTAATTAATTAATTAATTAATTAATAATATAAATAAATAAATAAATAAATAATTTATTTATTTCTTTATATAATTATATAAATAATTATATATGTATATATAATTATATATTATTATTTATATAATAATATATAATTATGTATATATACGTAATTATTTATATATATATATA